TGACACAGAGGACCAGCTTACCTGACCCTTCTACAGCACATGACACAGAGGACCAGCTTACCTGACCCGTCTACAGCACATGACACAGAGGACCACTTCCTCCTCAGCAAAACTTCCTTCACCCGGGCCCAGGACCTCCCTCTGGTGGTTTTCTTGCCCCTTCCGTCTAGTGCACTCTGCTGGCTGCTGCTCATCTCCCTGGGTCACTGGACATCACAGTCCCAGGGCCCAGTCTTCAGGCCTCTTTCCTCATCACACCCACTCTGTTAGCGAGTGAGCTCAGTCTCATGCTGGTGACCCCTAAATCTACATTGCCAGCCCAGCCGTGTCTCATGAGCTCTTGACATCTGTATCCAACTGGCTACTCCATGTAGGTTTCTAACACCTCAAAATTAGGTCTAGAATTAAATTCTTTTTTTTTTTTTTTTTTTGGAGACAGAGCTTCAAGCTATATTGCCCTGGGTGAAGTGCCATGGCATCACAGCTCACAGCAACCTCCAACTCCTGGTCTCAAGCAAGTCTCCTGCCTCCGCCTCCCAAGTAGCTGGGACTACAGGCACCCACCACAACACCCAGCTACTTTTTGGTTGCAGCCATCATTGTTGTTTGGGGGCCCAGGCTGGATTCAAACCTACCAGCTTAGGTATATGTGGCTAGCGCCTTAGCCACTTGAGCCACAGGCGCCAAGCCTAGAATTAAATTCTTTATCTTCTCCTCCAAGACTTGTTCTACCAGGCCAAGCGCAGTTGCTTGTGCCTGTAATCCTAGCACTCTGGAAGGCCGAGGCAAGTGGATTACCTGAGCTCACAGGTTGGAGACTGCCCAAGCCAGATGGAGACCACATCTCTTAAAATAACCAGGCATTGTGGCAGGCACCTATAGTCCCAGGTACTTGGGAGGCTGAGGCAAGAGGATCACTTGAGCCTAAGACTTTGAGGTTTCTGTGAGCTGTGATACTATGGTACTCTAACAAAGGTGACAAAGTGAGACTCTGTCTCAAGAAAAAAACAGCTTGTTCTACCTCATCTTTTCCAGCTCAATGGCAATTCTATCCTTCCCTTTGTTCATGCTAAAACACTTGACCTCTCTTAGAATCTGTGCCCAGTCCGTAAGCAAATCCTATTGGTTCCACCTCTGAAATACTCTTACTTTGCTATGTATAATGCACTCACATGGATGATGCAGACCCATGTTTTGGCCAAACTTTCAGGAAAGTGGCAGGCTCTCGGCTGGGAGGGAACATCTGGGGAGGGCTAATGCTCCCTGGTAAACATGCAGATCGCACCACGCTCCTGTGGCTGCCCCCTGTGAAGGCTGCCCCTGCCTCTCTCCCAGAAGCTTTCCCTCCCTGCCCCCACTAGGGGCCTGCAGCAGCTGAGGTGGCCACATAGGTGGCTAGCGGGGAGGGAGTTTCTGAGGCTGCCTGGCCTGTAGGCAGCCAGGCCTGTCCCTGGGGCCTCCATGGGGCTCCTGGTCCCCTCCATGTGGCCTGCCTTGCCATCCCTGTACCACCCCTGCCCTGATCAACACACTCGGCAGAGGCCACTCTAGCCCATTCCCACTGGATCCTAGATCCTGCCCAATGGAACCCCTGTGCACAAAAGGCCCACGTAGTAGGGCATGGTGGACCTGGAGGCCTGCTGGTCTGCTCCCCACTTCTGACCACGCTACCCATATATAAAGTACATCCTTACTTTACCCTCAAATTTTGCATGTGATACACAAAATACACTATATCAAAACTCGATACTTCTTACCCCTTCCTGCTACAATGTGAACCAAGCCAGGGTGGTGATCTCCAGCCTGAGCACTGCAGTAAACTTTTACCTGGTTCCAACTTCCTCCCTTGATCTCCTTCAGTCTCTCCTTGATACAGCAGCCGCAGTCATCTTACTAAGACAGAACAGATCGCACTGCTCCTCTGTGCAAGCCCCCCGCAGCACCTCATCTCCCACAGCGCGAAGCCAAAGCCGGGCATTATGTGGCCCATCTTCCAGCCGCACCCCAACCTCCCTGGCCTGTCTTCCTCGTACCTCTTGAGATCACTCCCTCTGTTGTTCCACCTCAGGACTTTATGTACAGCTCCTTCTGGAACATTCTTCCCCATGGTTCCTTCCTTTCCACTCTTAAGACTGATTCATTACCAGCTTTTTGGTCCCTAAATATCTCTATTTAAAATTGTAGCCATCCCTTCAGTCCCTAGCCCTCCCTATCTTTCTCCTTCCTTCATTTCCCCATATCATCTGCTAAATTTAGTACCTTGTAATTTTTACATTGTATTGTCTATCCCTCAACTGGACTGTAAGCTTCATGAGCTCAGACAGTATGGAGTACAGCCTCTTTGGTTCACTGCCAGTGCTACAGACGTCCTCTGCACATGTTAAACACTTCAGTTGATAAATATCTGCTGAACAGATGAATCAGAGCCGCTGAGAAAGGGAGAATTCTTTTGGGCCCATAACAAAATTTGATCAGCATACTAAAGAGATCAGCCAAAAATGAACTGAGAAAGATCATACTTGTGACACACAGATGATTCTCCAAAATCTCTGCCTATCAAGGGAAGTCATTTTTCCTAATATGCTGACTGCTGTATTCCACAGAGCATGGAGGAAGACTCCTGGGAAAAGTAAGGGGCAGTCGGCAAAGGAGTAGAGAAGCTCCAGAGTAGCTTTGGCACCTGGCTGAGGGGAGCTGATAGGACGGGACGGCTGGAAGCCTGTCCCTTGAGCCCAGCGTGTCACCTCTCCTCTTAGACGTGCAGCCAGGTTGTCCTGAGTCTTACCTTCTTTAGTGATGGCATCTGCAGTCTCTTTGGCTTTGTCTTTCAGGTCCTTAACCACACTGTCCAGCTGGGACTCATGCTTCAGGAAGAAAGGCCGGATGATACGCTTATAGAGCAGTTCTGCGCCATTGGAAGGGCTCGGGGCCATGCACCACAGCAGGAAGCCACACTGCGCAGAGGAAGAAACAGCATCGGTAAAAGGGGGTGGGCATCCAAGAACACACACTGCCCACCACTACTCTGGGGATGGCTGATGCCTCTGGTTTTTTCCCCAGAGGCATTTCCAGTGTTTTCTGCAGGCTAAAGGGAGTTTTTTTCTTCGATGGAAAAAGAACATCATAAGTAGTGAGCTAGTAGGGAATAAAAAGAGGGTAAAACATACCAACTCTAGCAGCTTCCCATCTTGTACCACGTTTTAGTTCATAGCTGTAAGGGGCTTTTATTAATTACAACTCTTAAAAATCAATTTAAGAAAATATACCAGAGGTACTTACCTGCACATATAATGAAAGCTCTGTACAGATAAGCCGAATATCTACGAGACTCGTTCACAGCAGGCTTGCCTTAGTTACATCTGTCACATTTATTCATCATCTCATAGAAAAAAACACCCTGCTGGGCAGTGCCTAAAATTCAAAGGAGTAAGACCCTGGGCCCCATATGCTGGAGGTGGTGGGTCCCGGCCAAAAAAAAAAGAAAAAGAAAGAAAAAACACCCTGCCCATTCTTGAATTCCTCCCTTAGTAGAAGCTCACATTTGAGTAGATACTGAGCCTTCGAAGGATATTTATAGGTTCATCATCTTGAACTCTGAATGTAGATATTAACCCTAACCCTTTTCTTTATGACCTACTTTGCCATTGAGCTAAAAAAAAATCTGGGGTAATACCTCAAAACATAAGAACTATCACACTATGCCCAAAACACTTCTACTGTTTATTCAAATAATAAATACAGACTTAGGACTTCAAGTCATCTAAGTACTTTATTCTTCTATAAGACAAAGAGGCAGAGAATATTCAGAGTGATTTGCTAATTTCTCTACAAAGTTAATAAACAACATACTTGTTTACTTTAGTTTAAAATACTCTGACCCTACTGTGGCATACAGCCTGGTGATTTTACATAAAACAGAAGTCACTTCCAGGGATTCCAAATCTGTATTTTTTTAAAATACCACTTCTCTTTAAAAGTAGAAACCGGCTCGGTGCCTATAGCTCAACCGGCTAAGGCGCCAGCCACGTACACCTAAGGTGGCGGGTTCGAATCCCCAGCCCGG